TTTTTGACAATCTTTAAAGTCATTATTCAACACATTGTTATTGTTAAATAAATATCGCCAAATAATCGAGATCTCAATTTCAGTGAAAATAATCGTGATTATCATTTTTGCCATAATTGAGCAGCCCTAGTTCAGAGTAAGCATCAAGAAATCTCGGGAAATCTTGGGATAAAAGGAAGGCTGGTGATTGGTCTATAATTAGCTAAGACCCCTTGTCTGTGAAGGTTCTCGGTCATCCAGGTCATCGTAGTTTAAGGAGCTTGGAAAGAAAAGCATCTAGACTTTTTAAGTTACTTAAGTTACTTCTTAACTTAAGTTACTTCTTAAGTTAAGAAGTAACTTAAGTAAGTCCAGACGCTTTTCTTTCCAAGCTCCTTAGACTAAGACCCCTTGGTTTAACTGATGGCTTTTCAAGTAGCAGTTTAATTACTGCGAGCTAGAAGGTCTGTGGTACATTGCCCATTAATAGAGAGAGTTGATTAAAATAGAAATTGAAGCATAAATAAATAGTTGGACTTCTTTGAACAGTTTTGTAGGAATGGGTCCTAAAGACACGTTGATGGTTTGGTAGTTGCTGAAGTTAACTTGGAGAGATCAGTTAATTCTCAACACACTCTCACCAAACTCTCTGCACTTGCTAGCACATCTCCACGTTAAGCACTCTAAGCTGCTGCACATCCTTTCCATCTCGATCACCCCGCCTAGTCCATTTCTCCTTCCTGTTTAGCCAGTGAAATCAGAGCTGCTGGTTTGAGTGTATTAAACAGTTTGGGTATACTGTATGTAGCCATAGGGAACACAATAGACTACTTCCACAGTTTAGGGACTCACCTCTGCACACAAGACATGATAAATGTGTCATAAAACACATGACCAAGTTGCTATGCATTCTTCAGCAGTCTTCCTGTAATCCCATCCGACCCGAGGCTCTTATTTGCCTTTGATTTTTTTCAAAGACTGACTGAACATCATGTACATTTTAACAGTGCAATTGGGGTACAAGGAGCCATTTCTACATAGATGCTGTGATTAACAGATGCGGTCTTTTCATGGAGGAGTCGATTGATCTTTGTTGTTACTGTGGCTGTGTGCATGACACTGTGTGAGCGCAGAAGATTGATCCAGGCTATTGTCCTGCTGTAATGAGGTCACCCCCCCCCCCTGGAACTATGACATTTCCTGTTGCTCAGAGGCCAGAAAATCATGAGGTTTACAGCTATACTGTTGATTTCTGGAGCTTTAGCGTTTGTTGTGACTATCACTATCACGATAACTGCACCGATCAGTGTGTGCACATAGGCGTCGACACCTACAGGCAAATTCAGAATCACAGATCTTGCCTTATGACAACTGTTTTCAACACTGATATTACTAGCTCAGTGTAGCCATTAGATGTTCTGTGTGACGACATAAGTCATCAAGTTTTACTGCATAATTTTTCTCAAAACAAAGTCCAAACTATCCTCTAAGCATTTACATGTATCCTGATTAGAGTTAGAAAACAGCATCACCCAGCAGGGAGAATGAGCTTCCTCTAGCAGTGAGCTCCTGCTCTACTCTGAGCTGACACTTTCCTCTACCTGTTGTATTATCTGGTCAATCAGATGTTATTGAGCCACATAAGAAGCCAAACCTTGATCCCATGCCCTCCCGGCTCCCTTCTTTTCAGCAGCTTTTGACCTAGTGTGAATCAGAGAGGGAGGGATGTCACAGCTTAGATGCCATCAGTGAGGAGGATTTGCAGGTTTTAAGTCTCTGCTCTTTGGCCTTGTCACAGTAGGACTTCCTGAGAGTATGGGGCTGCTCTGTGCCACAAAAGTTAAACCTGCCTGCCACAACAATGCCACATTTAAGGCTTCCAAAGACATTGAACTTAGTTGGAGCGGGTTGATCTCATAGTGAACGGTGGGAAGTCATGCATTGAGAATGAGAGGATGCACAATAGCATGCTGACACAATGACACATAATATCATGGTCTAGAAATGTGACTCAGTGAGGTGACAGTCATTTTTTTTAATCCAACAAGGATCTTTTATTTTTCCTTGGCGGTTTCTTAAAGGAATAGTCTAACTTCCAAACAAATTTCCTTTCTTTGCTTACTGTTTGATTTGGTTGATATCAGTCTCATGTCTGAGACTCTTACTGCACACGGCATTAAAAAAAACAGCGACAACCCTCAGGGCAACAAAATGAACCCATTGTTGGAGTGCCAAGTTTTGGGACTTCCAAAAGTCAGTCAGTCCCAATAAAATTCCACGTTAACTTGACCTGCTAAACAGCATAAAAAGCATGTTTGAAGTTTCCCACTTCACACCGTTATTGATGTATGAGACTAGTATTTCATTATTCAACTTGTCATGTCTCAGGTCTCTTTTGTCTTCCTCCCCTCACCCCAACCGCTGTTGCACCTGTGCAGCACATAATACACCTTCTAACTTGGCAACATTAGTAGCTAACTTAGCGCTCCTGCTTATTATATAAATATGGTATCTTTTGGCTCTTAAAAACACAACAACAGCGACAACATGGCGAATGTTGAAGCCTTAACGTGAATTCTAAAGCCAGTGGGGAACACTGTGGTGGCTACATTCATCAGTCTGTGGACAGGACATGTTCTTCTGTGAGCTCCAGAGGCAGCGTTAGCATTGTGAACGGCCTTTGGGGCCCAGGCCCATCCAAAAGGATGACTGTGCCCCCTCAGCTGAATTCTACTGACTTACTTTTACAACTATAGGTAAAATTAATTGTTGTACAATAATAGTTGTAGTAACAACCAAGCCCATATTAATAATTTGGTCAATAGCAATTTACAGCATCTACAATGAAATAGTAAAGTTAGTGAGTCTAATTCCCTCCTGTCAGAGTTGGTTGCCTGTCTAGTCCATCTTCTGAGGTGCTGACCCTGTTTAGAGGTGCTTGTAGATGTGTGTTTGAACTTTGGACAGTGTAGAAGGTCAAAAACACAACATGTAAACAGCCAGATTTTCCCTGGTTCAAGTCTTCATGATGGCTTTAGTGGATTTTATGAGACTATCACTAGGCCAGCATTTGATGTATTTCATCGTGGCATATCAAAAGTCAGCTGTCACTAGAGATGAAATATGATAAACCAGATCTGATCAGATGCTGAAAGGTTAAATACACTGGACTTCTTTCTGATTTCTACAAATCACTTAGAAATAAATCACAGAAACTGGAGCATCACGAGACTTTCTAACCAAGTTTTCTAACCTCTGGCTAGTTTTTTTAAAATCTGGCTAATGAGAATAAACAGCATTATCGGCCTAAATTTAAAAGCACTATGAGAGCACAATTACAGTGAGAAAGGACCATTTGAGTGCCTTTAAATACTCACATTTACCACTGTAACAAACTAAGGAATGACTAAACTTACCTGACCATGAACACAACAGCCTGTAAAATGCCTCCACTCCTCTGTTAAAATACATAGAATATTATTTTATTCTGGATTTAAATATTTCAAAGACAAAAGATTTTTTACCACTTATTTTTAATACAATATGAAGTACCCAGATAACTTGAGCAAAATATCGTGCGACACATCCAGTTAAAAACAGTCTGGCATGAAGTAAAATGATACAAGGAGGCTTTAAATCTGCAGTTTTCAACTGTTAAAACAATAACTCTAGTTATGCTTGCTCCTCAGTAGAGCTAGCTAGATGCTAAAGTAATGTGACCAAAGCTTTCCAGGCGTGTGCACAAACACATGACAGGGACGAGGAGGAAAAAGGACCTCTTGTGGATGTAAGCAGAACCGTGGGATGAAGCTTTTCTCCACGGGCTAAACTCTAAGCAAAGTTGTGGCACAAGAACAATGATATTAAGTATCAATCCGCCCATCAGATTTAAACACTCACTAGGTGCTTCTGTCATATTCTTTGCTTTTGCCAGTTTTGTTTATGTTCATCAGTGCCATGTCTTACTCTTGTAGTACCTCCGGTTTGGCCTATAATATGGTCCTTTACACCACAGAAAAAGAAGGAGCTTGTGGAGCTTAGCATACTGTTGAGAAAGTCTTCTCACCTGACTTCTGACAAGAGTGAAGAAGCTTTACCGCCAAACAGTGTTTCAGTCCTTGTGCTGACTCTGCTCGCCACTATCTTCCAAACTGCTGACATCAAGAAGCCCTGGTTTATGATTTAGAGCTCATATAAAGACGCATAGCATTTCCATTCAGAATGACCAGCTGGTTACTATTAGCTTTACTACTCTATCATAATGAAGTAATATTATTACTGTTAGTCCAACGACTGCTATTAGAAAATTTGCGATTTAAATGATATATAAAGGTCAAAAATACATTTTAGGTTCTCCTTCCACTTGCTGCCAATGTGACATTATTATTGTTATTTTATTGTTTATTATCATTATTATTATTGTTAATTTATGGGTCTTCATTGGCCAGAACAATGACATTGAAAGGCCCCTGTCCACAGTGGTGCAATAATGGCTCCCTGTCCAATGGGAATTGAATGGAGGATAGCTTCCCTGAGAAGCCTATTCTCTGGGCCAACCAGTCACACCCCACTACCACCTCAACCACCACCCCCCACCCCATTCTTCAAACAACACTGTGACTGACAGCTCCCTTTCACACGGCTGCAACTGGCAAGGAAGGGCTTTAATTCCAAACCATTTTGTAGCATGGCATGATAATGACTTAGACCCAAGCCCATGGATTGACATGGTTTTATTGTAGGGCCGGGGAGAGCAGCCCTTTTCTTCTCTTTTTTTATGCTGTTTGGATGAGATTGAGGATTTAGTTTTATATTCAGTTTCATTCTCATATAATCATATATATAAAAAGAAAGATATGACTGACATGATGACAATAGAGGAACATGTATTATCAATTTTTTCTGCAATGAATCAGTTAATTAAACCTGTGAATGTTGCATTGTCAAACATGTACTGTTTTTAAGTGAAACTCCAAAGTATTACATATGTGCAACAGCTTCAACAGATGATGCTATATAGGAGTATTGTTTCTACTGAATGTGCCTTCAGTAGCACTTAAGCTGCCGTCCAGTAATGACTCACTAAATACGGGCTGCGGTCAAACCTACCAACTAAACCTTAATCTGACTGCTGAAGCTGGGACTTTAAACAATGATGAGAAATGACTAACTGAAATATGCAAATATAAAATATGACTTGTCGTTTATATTATTATTATAAGCCTTCCGTCAAATTGGCATGGATATTAGAGTGTAATAAAAAACGAACCTAGCAAGCTTCAGGTAAAGATGATTTTGTGAAAACAGATCATGTGTTCTTCAAAATCATTAAAATAGTGGCTGCTACTGCACATTCTCAAATTAGCTTTTTAAAAGCTTGGTGGGAAAAAAAACAAGGTATTTAAATATGTCAACATGGTTCTAGGAAAAGTGTGTCCAGCATCAATTAATTGACCAAGTTTTAATCCAATAAACAAAAAATTCAGTCATTGAGTGAAAGAAATGACAGCACTGATGCCAAAGTCACCACAAGCAAGTTTTGATTGATAGGCGAGCCTCATCGCCACTGCTCTACATGACCTACATCCCCTAGTGCCTGGCCCTTCCAACCTTTAGCCCTGTGCTGTAACACCTTCTGTCGACCGGCCAACTTTCTTCCTTCTTCCTCAGCACACTGTTAGCAACCCTAACAGTGTTGTCAGGCTCAGGGTCTTCTGCAAGGATTAATGCAGCGTCGGAGAGCTCAGGTGGTTCTAATTGTCAGAGGAATCGCTGGCTGGTTTTGCTCTACTACCCAAAATTTCAGTTTGCTGAGCAGGAAGAGGCAAAGATTTGATGAAAGACAGATGGCAGAGCAGTCCTTTGTCACATCATCACATCTCTGTGTGTGTGTGTGTGTGTGTGTGTGTGTGTGTGTGTGTGTGTGTGTGTGTGTGTGTGTGTGTGTGTGTGTGTGTGTGTGTGTGAGATCAGTATGGCTGGTTAGAGAAACAGAAGAAGAAACAAAGGCTGAGAGTATAATTTATCTATCATTATAAGATCCAGTTCATCTGCAAGAGGCTCAAAAACGCTCCCTTCTTCCTCTGTGTTCTCTCACCACCCAAACTGTCCCCCACCCCCAACCTCCGTCCTGCCACTCTTTGACCAAAGAAAACAAGGAAGATTTCCTCCTTTGATCGTCAGAGGATGGAGGGGCTGAATGGGCCAAAAGACAGCGCAGAGGCAGGGTGGGGGCCGAGGAGATGAGCCGTTTACCCTGCACTTGGCTTCTGTTGAGGCCTTCTGCTTCTCCCATCTCCTCCTCCTACGACCCCACCCTTCTCTGGATCCCAACCCCTCTTTTTGCTAGTTCGAGGTATAACAAACACTGAAACCCACCCCTCCCCTACTTCACCCTTTTCAGTGCCCTATCCTTGCATCTTCACCCCTGGGCGTCACCCCTGTCACCCAATATCCTTCCGGGGATGGAGGAAGCAGAGCACAGCACCTGTCTTGACCCGTCTAGACACCACCGCCCTGTTGATTTGTCTTGAAAGGGATGGGTGGTGGAAGAGCATGGCTGAGTTTGGATGGAGGGTTGGGGAGGGTATTCATGCAGGTTAAAAGTCAAAGTTGGAGGGTGAGGTATTTCAGCGTTGATGGAGAAAACACAGCGGAAACAAGAGGCCACCCCACTGACCCACCCTGAGGCCTGTGGTGTAACACAGCTAACACTAGGCCAACCCAGAGTCTTTTCTTTTTTGCCATGATGCAGCTGTGCTGTTTTGGTCTATCCGGCACGAGTTCTTAGACGTTTCAACGTGGCAATCGGGTATTGGAAACATGAGACAATGGCTACACGGTCCAAGAAGAAGCCGTGCTGGAACATGCCAGTCCAACATGATGATTTCCTCCTCTCTCTTTGGTTTGGTTTGCCAGGTCCCATTCGCTCGCTCGGAGACTCACCTCAGCGAGCTTCTGGACGGCGTGTGCAACAGTATGAGTGACTATGCACTCTATGTGGATCCCATCACCCAGCACAAGCAGTACAGGAGGTTTGCTCCCAGAAGCAGTGCTTCCACCGACGACTTCCCCGACTTTAAGAACTTCCAGTTTGATGGGCCAGAGGCGTCCAATGACCTCAAATTCGCAGTGAGTGGAAATATGCACTGAAAACAATGTTTTTAAGTAGAACTATAGTATAGTTAGAACTGCAGCCTAGTTCAGGATCATGTACAGAAGCATTGGAAGCATTTCCAGGCCAATTTCATCCATTGCTATGTATTAAGAATCAAAAAACAAAGAAAATTCTCAGAGTTAATTTTGAAACAAGTTGTTCAATAAATGAAGATGTACATTTAAAATTGGAGGCGGTGATTATGACAACCCTGCATCAGTCGGTTTCCAGCGCCGTCCAATCGAAAACAACACGTTTTGTATAGCAGAAGCATTACAAGGTAGTCATACAGTTAGATGTGTAATCTAAATACACGTTTGCTATTTTCATCAATCTATCAGTTGGGACAAAATGTTAGACTAGAAAATCGGATAGTTGCAGTAATGCTATTATTGAAATTCCTTTTATATCTTTATTTATTTTAGTAATTTAATTATTAATCGGTTTGTTAAGCTCACATTGCCAAAATTAACAAAAGTATGCATTTTATTCTAGGCATTTTCGTATATGGATACTTTTATGTAGATGTATATTTCATGTTTAAAATAATTGCTCCTATGCAGAAAAAATAGTCTGTTTAAAACACACTACTTTTCTTTGTCTTCTTGAAGAGAAGGTCATGAATCTGTGAGCTACAGACAGATGAGAAATGAAAGAAAAACCCAGAACAATAACGTGGCGACCTGCCACATCAGCGTCAGAGCTCCTCGCCATTTATTCTTGCAGTAGACGTTGGAACAGAATTAGATATCGCCTTTTGGGGTTTTTTGATGGTGGTGGTGGAGCATGATGTCAGTAAAACTAGAAAAGAGCTAAATAAATACAAGTATATTACTCTTTTATGTCTGACATTGTTCCGAAATCAATTTTCATATTCTTTAAACCGTTCAAAGACGCTGTGTCACATAGAACAAATGTGTCTACGTAGCAGTGACCCTTCTTTTGATACAAATGGCCCCCTGTAGCATAATGGAGCCAGGGGAGCTCTTCACTGTAGGGGTCAGTGATTCAGGGTTTTCCTTTAATTTGTCATGCCTTTGTAGTGTGGCCAGTTGGTTGTGCCAGCCATTTCACCTGCCTTCAATTTGAGAAAGTACTTGATATCAGCAGTCACTGCAGAAAACCCGGTCAGTGAGCCATGATTGGATTTAGTGACGTGTAGACTGAACAGCTGTGAGCTTCACCACGACGCACCATGGCGGCTTCACGTGACCGAGGGGTCTGAAGGAATTAATAGGACAGATGAAACAACAGACACGGGGAAAAGTTTGTGGTTTATTCTGAAGTTGGATTGCATCACGAGTGTGATTGGGTGAGCCAGCTCCCACTGAAAGCTGCTGCTTTAATAAACAGCTTCGGACTCGCATCACAGCCACTTTTTATTTTTACTTTTTATTCACCACCATGTTCCTCGCTAAAGAAAAAGCAGCTGGAGCAGAAGTCGAATTCATAAAAAGCGAGGAAGGGTGCTTTCACAGAGTCTTCGAAATGGATGAGCGGTTCGATAAACAGGAGAGAAACGTGGCCGCCGCCGCCATGCAAATGGCGTGCCCACACTGTGTGAAAGATGTGTGTTGTGCATGTATGGTCGAAGCACACTTTGACCAGTGTTTGCTGCGTCTGTGTCTCAGTGTGAAACGCTGGTGGAGGAGTTGGAGGAAGAAATCATCTCTGTGCTGAGCCGGGACAGGCAGGAGAACGTGCACGAGGAGCTGTGCAGCAGAGTCTCAGGTAGCAGCTATGCTTCACACGCGCACTCTCACAGAGCTACAACACACATACATACAACATACACACAACACACACACAAACATACACACACACACACACACACAGCTGTGGAAGCTGCTCGGGTTTGGCGTCCACAGCATTCAGTAACAGCAGAGGCCAGTGTCAGCACAGCTCAGTAGCCTCAGTGTAGTTCAGTGTTAGCTATTTGTGTCTTTAGATGGTGGCACATTTTCGGGTTGTGGAACATAAACACTGATGTGTTTGTCGTCATGCTTTTCCTTTCAGACTACTGTGAAGACAGCAGCCGTGCTAACGAGGAATTGTAGCATCACACTGGATTTTCGGTGCAGCGAGGAGAGACCAGCTTTGACACACATTTCTGAGAAAAAGGTTTTGATAAAAAATGTTTGACAAACAACTGAGACTATTTTAAGTAAATAAAAACCAAATGTTGAGAAAGCACAGTGTTCATTTTTGTCTCTGCATGCTGCTCACACCACAGTATCTTAACCAGACCTACAGTAACTGTTTGTTGGTGCGAGTTCCACATATCAAAAGTTAAGATGGTGGTCTCCACAGTTAGTCAGCTGATCAGTTTATCTGGCAAAACTCTTTTCTGCTCTCTGTCACAGTCTGGCTTTATCACCAAGTCCAGGAAAAACATTTAGATTTCTTTGTTTTTTTTATAGAAAAAAAAATACACATTATTTCCTTCCTTTACACACACCATAAACATCCATGGGAGATAAATCTGTTAGTGTGGAATTGTAGACTGCTGGATGATAGTGCTGACTCTAAATGTTCACAGAAGCTAAATGTATTGTGTCAGTGTGAACATGCAGCTTTCAAATTGCTGTATCTTTTCACAAAGACTAGCAGGTGGACAGACCCGAGCCACAACTCAAGCATCTGTTATCTGATTGGACCAGACTTAACAGCAGCTGATTGGTTGAAAACTTTGCATTGATATGCTAAAGGCGGCCGCATGCAGGGGAACCAGAGAGTGCGTTATACTGACGCTGCTTTGTGCCGATTCTGTAGCTTGGTTGGGTTCGCAATAAAAAGGAGACCGAACAAGTGCTGATGGTTATTATATATAATGCATTACTGGGCTGTCATTAAGTGTGACCTGCGCCTCTCCTGAGCACTGGGGGCTGGGTCTTCAGGGAATGGGTATATAGTATCTTTACTTCATTATGCATCGCTAAGAAAACTATCCTCATGAACTGGAAATCAAAAAACTGTTGATGTATTAACATAAAAATGTACTTGTCTGCCTCCTCAGAAAACCTACTGGATGAATTTGTTCCTCTCTGGTCCCCACTGATCTATTCCATTAGTTGGTGTGAGTGCTTGGCTATAGTCTCCTTTCCCTGTATGCCTTGCAGGTGGATGCAGGTCGTCTCTGGGACTGCAGAGGTCTGGCAGCAGGGGTCCGTCTGTCCCTCACACACCCCACAACAAGATTGTTGATTTATGTATATGTCCATTTTCAAATTTTTGTGTTGCAGGTACTGTATGGTTATTTTCCCCACAGGTGCAGCAGTTGGGGATACATTATGCATTTCTATTTGTACTCCTTTTATTACATCTTCGCCGACCCCTGTTTTTTTTTTTTT